TAATATACGGTTCAGTTTTTTTTTTTTTGCCTTGAGGAATTCTAATAACCAAGGTGCAAAGTATTATGATTTACGTATAGCACACGTGAAAACCAAAAATCAAAACATTTTCAACTGTTGGACATATATTTTAGGCTAAATTATACTTTTAGTTTTTTAACTAATAAGGTTTTATTTTGATCTCTTAAATTTAAAAAGTAAACTTTGTTAGGATTATAGTTTTGATGATAACAAAGTCAGAATATCAAGATTAAGTATTTTGATCGATCAACTGATCGATCAATCGTTTATCGCTAAGGTTTCAGATAATTGCTCAAATGTAAATCAGGTTAATAGTAGGTATTCGGATCGAAGAACTATTCGATAAGCAATTAATCGATAAAGTGATAGATTATCGCTAATGTGAAAATCACATAAGAGTATGGTTAATTATCGATAAACTGATCGATAATATCAGATAATCAACCGAGTTACTGATAAGAGAACCAAATCTGAAGTGTATTTATCGATCAAGTGATCGATAAATCAGTCATCAATAACGACTTCGATAGAAGGTAACACAATCTACTTGTTCTGCACATTAATTCTGTTACCAATTTATCGATCATATTCTCGATCATTTGTTTATCGATTACATGTTCGAACTTTATGCTCTAACTCTCTGAATGCAGGTAATCAACTTCACTGATGGATCGATAACCTTATTGATCATAAAATTATCGATCACATGATCGATAATCAATGCCTTTATCTACTCTTATTCAGTTTTTCCTACAACCAAATTATCGATAACATTATCGATAAATTTAACTTGTTTGCTTAAATAACTTTTCACATAACATGATCGATAAAGAGTCTAAGGATTGCTATATTCGCATTAAGTTATGGTGAACTATTTTTCGATCACCTAATCGATCACTGGTTTTTCGATAATATGATCGATCATTCAATTCCCTGGAACTCATGTTTTCACAAAACGTGATCGATAATCATTTTCTTTGTCTTACAAGGTTAAATTCTCTTCTTACTTTATTCGATCATTTGTTCGATTGTTCATTGATCGATCAACTGTTCGATCACTTCAGATAGCCTGTGTCTTTCATTGAATATATACATACCCATAGTTTATCGATGACATTATCCATCATATATTTATCGATAAGATGTTCGATCATCAATGACTGAAGCTTCATTTCAATAACATTTGAATTATCGATAATCTGTTCGATCAAACAAGTGTTCGATCACTTGTTCGATCATGGAACAATTTCCTCTTGCTATGATAATTCTTAGAGTCAATGATCCAACACTTGATCGATAATATTGGTGATCTAATTCGAAAAGTCTTCATTCTGTTTATCGATAACTTGATCTATCATCAAGTAATCGATCATCTTTTCGATCAAACTAAACCAGAATGACTTTCTGTTCTTCTTACTGATAAATGATTTCGTCACAAATCTTTGAATGATAAATTTGTTTTCTCTCTTCGTTCAAGATTAAAGTATTCACCGCAAGACTCTCATTTGTTCAAAGCTTAAAATATGCAGATTAATGAAAACGAGTGCAACGGCTCTTCAACGGGATTACGTAGACTGCAACCTACAGTGTCAGAAGCTCAGACGCATTAATGGCGGAGCCGTTAAAACCAGCAAAACACGCAAACGGAGTCACAACGGCTAGAAGCTCTTCCGTCTAACGGCTACTTAACGATATCAACTATAAAAGGCGCGAAGAAGCATTAATGAAGAGATTGAATACCGGAACTACCACCTGCGATTATTTAGTTTAGCATTCAATACTCTGTTTTTACGTTACTACCGAGCATCAGTGTTTATCATTAAATTCACTCTGTAAGAGAGCCAATTACTACTCTTATTAAAAACCTGAGTGACACTCAAGAGTGTGGACTCTTGAGAGGGGTTGTATCCTTACGGGAGTAAGGGGGAGTGATTGAGCGATTCAATTACTGTACCGAGGCACCAAGAGCCCTGTCGATCTTGGAAAATAGTGAAATACTCAGAGGTGTTCTGGGGACTGGAAGTAGGTCACGTGGTTTAGACCGAACCAGTATAAATCTTGTGTCTCCTCTCTGCGGTTAAATTTCTCCATACTCTGACTCTCTGTTTTTATTCAATACTGACACGTTTTTTATTGTAAATTTTTGTAACTCACCCAATTCACCCCCCTCTTGGGTGAGATTATTTCTAACAAACTTTTAATCCTCTAATCCTGGAACCGTTAACCAAAAACGATAATATTGAGCTCTTAAATGTTGATAAAACATTACTTATTGCTATAATAGTGAATTTAATTTTCAAAATAATCATTATTGTTACAAGAAATCATCATTTAAAACTAACAATTTTAGGATTAAAGGACTAAAAGTATACTTTTTAAAGTCAAGGGAACAAACTGAAATCTTACATAAAGTTAAAAGACTAAATATATACTTTAGCCTATATTTTAATGTTATTCCATATACTCATTAAATTTTTGGAATAGTCTTTACCATCAAATTATTTATCAATTTTTTTATCTATTTAGATGTTCTACAGAATACTTACATAAATTCATATATGCATTCATCTACTTTACAATTAATTAATTTGAAATTTATTATTATTTCAATTTAGATTATAGTTAATTAAATTATAATATAATTTTTTATATCTAATTTCATGTTTTCCAAGACTTTTTAAGTTTTAATAAATTCATATATGCATTCATCTACTTTACAATTAATTAATTAATTAATTTGAAATTTATTATTATTTCAATTTAGATTATAGTTAATTAAATTATAATATAATTTTTTATATCTAATTTCATGTTTTCCAAGACTTTTTAAGTTTTAATAAATTCCTAACACTAAATTTAGCAGCAAAATTTATATACGTACCAAATAGTATGAAGTTTAGATAAATTCCAAAAACAGAACAAAACTACCTCCCAGTAAATAGACGTATATTTTATAAAAATGACAAACAAATTAAACCAACAAGCAAACATCTATATTGATTGACAATTAACTTATTACAATGAAGAAGATGGAATGCATTTTCCTATAGGCGACTGTTACCCCCTTTGAATCAAATATTCTTTGTGCGCCGACTAATGAAGTAAACAGTTTGGGAAAGCTACATTTAACAGTTTTAGTAAGAATTTAATTTAATAGTTAAATTTGTGTGGGAAAGCTAGATTGCATTTTGCTCCAACTAATGAATTAAAATAACAAAATCAATAATAATTTAATAAAATATACAAAATTAGATATTGTTCATATCTATCTAATTTATATATTACTCAATAAATTAATTAAATTTTTACAAATTGTTACTATTACCATTGCTCATTAATCATTAATTTATAAGTAAAAAAAGATCATTTGTTAATATATTAATTATTAGGCAAATAAGAAACCACAGTATACAATCTACAATCTACAAACAGTCTAGTAGTTTCTTCTCCCCTAAATACATTATTAATAATTATACAATCTACAAACAGTCTAATAGTTTCTTCTCCCCTCAATACACTAATTAGTTTATTAATAATGTATTGAAGGGAGAAGAAACTATTAGTCTGTTTGTAGATTGTATATTGTGGTTTCTTATTTGCATAATAAACTATTTTATTTGAACAATGCTTATATTTCACTAATCTGATTAAAAAAAATCCTATTCTTTAAATCCTTAATATAAGACCCAATTAACTCATTTGAATATATTAACAATCTTAGTTAAATTATTGGTCAATATAATATGTTTTTTTTCCTCCCTAAAACAGTCCAAGCATTTCCTTTAATTTTTTGGTAAGCATCACTTTGGATTTATCTAATCATCCTACACATTTTCTCTATTTTTACCCCTAATTAGTTACATTTTTCCATCATCTCTTTTTCTCTGCTCTTTCCATTAAAATTTTTAGACATATTTTGGTTTTTTCTGATTACATTGAGGATTTAATTTGTTGAATATGGACTATGATTATGCACACGCTTTTAGGAAAGATAAAGCGAGATTACTGATGTGTACATATTGCCAGGTTGTAACCAACTATACCCTCACAACTGATAATCCTATGGCTGACTAGCTTGCCAAGCCTTCTCACATTTTACTATTAGAAGGGAATAATTGCTTCTTTTTTCTTCTTTTTTAAATCACGCTGCATCTTTTCTTTCCTCCCGGCAATTTTTTTTCCGTGTTCTCGGATTGTAAATTAATGATATTTAGTTTTTATTAAAAAAAAAACTTTAGAAGTTATTAGTAATCAGCAACTCAAGTTCAATACAATGGTCCCCATTATGCAGCACAAATATTGCAATGGCATGAATAACAAAATATTTGTTGAGTCCCATGTTGAGAAATCCCAAAAGTGAAATGTGGCTGGTAAATTTAAAGAGTTCTCTCCCTTCCAATAAGTTAGTATTTCGGAATAAGCTCTTTCTCTTGGATTTGGCATTATTTTACACAAGTCATGGATTGGTGGTTGGTACCCTTTCTAAACAAGCACAAAACATTCCTTGGCATAAAAGCAAACACAGGATGTCACAAGTCAGAACTAATAGACACGTGCATGTACAGATTTAACATACAAGTGATGTTACCAGATCCCATCAGTAAAAATTTCTGAGGCTTTGTTTGCCTCAGCTACTCGCATTCTAGATTTGCTTATGATGAAACCCAAGCTTAAAGCGAATACTAAAACCTGAAAGAATCTGGCAGTGTAGCTCTAACCAGAAAAGCTAAAAAGAAAATAAGGGGAAAAATAACAGAGAACTCACACAGTATAGTCCCTGGTTCTTACTCTTGGCTCATTAGTTATTCATCGGCTTGCGTGGCAACGAATTGACAGCTTCAGTTTCTTTTACAAAATCGAAAGAGTTAATTACAACATAATAGGCACCTAAACTTTTGGAAGATAGCTGTGCAAGTTATTCCACTGCTTCAGGGAAGAAGAAATGTAGTTCAGTACCTCACAATGCCCACATACGTGAATCAACTACGGGTCTTTAAGGAGATGGAACTTGGAAGCTTTTTACTCCTTGTCCTTGGATTAGCATCTTCTAACTGCTTGATGACATCTCTCATTGTGGGTCTCATGTGCGGATTCTTCTCCGTGCAACTCAAAGCCAGCAAAAGCACTATGGTAACTCGTTCAAGTACATCTGACTTCAAAACCTCCTCTGCAAGGCTTGAATCAACAATTGTATTAATGTCTCCTGTTTCCCTCCATTGAGTTCTGACCCAAATTCCTATCTCAGTTCCATTCATAAATGATGGATCTACTGCCTTCTTTCTAGTTATCAACTGAAGCAAAACTATCCCATAACTGTAAACATCAAACTCCCTGGTATTTGCTGTTGTATATGTGCTCTCTGCCACGGTTTAATGGGAACATGTTATTTTATGCAAGCGTTCAGAAATAAGAAAGAGAGAGAGAAGCTTCACCATGAGTAAAATGAGTACCTGGTGTTATATACCCTTGTGTGCCTGGAACTGGTAAAGATGATGTTGAAGAAGAAGACTGATCCAAAAGCTTGGCAACACCAAAATTAGCAATACGAGGATCCATATCAGAATCCAGAAGTATATTTTTAGGTTTGATGGCACAGTGCACTATGGCAGGATGACAAACATAATGGAGATAAGCCAACCCATGAGCAATTCCAAGAGCAATCCTATACCGGACATTCCACTCTAGGCATGGCGGTGGATTCTTTTCATGCAAAACATCATGAAGGTTTCCATTTGGCATGTAATTGTACAAGATCAGACAGCAGTCCTTTATGAACAAAAAGTCTAGCAATCTGCCCAGATTTCGGTGCCTAATCTTTGCAATGATTTCAATTTCTCTAGCTATCTTTACAATCTTTCTTTTGTTACCAGCAAATGAAACCTTCTTTACAGCATAAACTAGGGATGCTCCTAGTGAATATTTATATACAACACCATGAGCTCCTCTGCCAATAATATTTGAATTGTTCAAATCACGCGCCATCAGCTTGTGAATAATTGGGTAAGAACCTCTATTGGCAGTGATCTTGACTTCCTCCTTGGAGATTGGACATAGGAGCATAGAAAACGTTTAGAATAAAAAGGAAGAATGGTAGCAACTCAGAATTTAAGGATGCTTAATGAAGAAGATGAACGAGTAAAAGAAAGAAAGAGCACTCAACAATGGCTTTTGATGTTCTAACATAATTGGTATTACCAAAACAATTACTCCCTCTAGTCCTTATTACAAGACTTTCTAGAAGAAACTTTCAGTCCTTTTTATAAGATCCTATGCTAGTTTCAATGAGCATTAAATTTTTTCCCCCCCATGTATGCCCATATTTAACAAGGGTAGTGAGAAGGTAGAAATTTATATGATGTTGGAATTTAGTGTAGTTAATGAGGGTGATATTGGAAATCATTTAAATTTAGTGACAAATTTAATGCTTTTAAATGTTTTATTAGTATGTGTGAATTGCTTAGCAATCTCTTATATTAAGGAGCAGAGGGAGTGTAAGCTTCACAATGACCTCAGACTCTTACGCTCAGCCTATTCTTTTTGTTCCCAATAAGGTCTTCTCAAAATAATGCTATTCAAGAGCAAAGCTGGTTTTGCAAAACTATTTTCAACCTAATCCTCGCACACCAAAACCCTACTAATTTGAAGAGGAAGTATTTCTTGGACATTTTGAATTCATCTGCAAGCAGTAAATTAAGATAAATAATGTGAATTTATTATGGGCTTATGAGCAGTTGTTACTTGTCTAAATCAATTTACCTGAAAAAATATAGAGGCTGCTGCATTCGCAAGAGAACAACCTAGATGAAATGCTCTGTCATGCTGAATGAAAATTCCTGCACAAATTTGACGAGCATAAGACCACGGCCCTTTCAACAGCTGGAATTTCAAGCCAAGATTTCAATTCCTTAAATAAAACGAAGTCATGTTTCATGACCAGTTCAGTTGAAAACAGAAAGAGAACGTGTAATGACAAAAATATAGCAGAAAGGAAGCCTGATCACTGAAAAACTAGAGAATATAGATGAAGAAGAAAATTTTTGTGCCTAGAATCATATAACTTGGAAGAGATAAAGATATGATATTTAAACTTAAATTACATATATCTTATCCTATTAACTAACTAGATAGTGGTCAAATAATAAATTAGATAATAGCAGTTGTACCAGCTGCAGCAATCACTTCTGTGATTTCCTTTCAGAACTACCAATTTGTGTGATGAAATGAAACTAAGCCTTTGGGTAACATGCCATGTCAATTAAACTATGGCCCCGTTTGGTACGAAGCATTAAAAATGAGGGATTGAGATTGGAATTGCAATTGAAAAAATCTATTAAAAGAGTGTTTAGTATGAGTAATTGCTTATTATGTGAGACTAGACAAATATAGAGGTAGGAGTGGAGAATACTACTTCCTCCCATGGTATTCTCCAATCTCACATACATGGGTTTGGCTAGTCCCACATAATAAACAATTTCTTATGCTAAACACTTTTTTAATAGATTTTCTCAATTGCAATCCCAATCCTAATCTCTCATTTTCAATACTTCCTACCAAGCGCAACCTGTGTGTCATACATACCAGAATCTGAAATAATATGAACAAGGATCCGCACTGTCATGTATTAGAATTTAATACTTTGTTTTAAGTATGATGTTAATGACACTTGTCCTTGTCAATTGAACACAACTCCTACCTGGATCAGTGGGCGTTTCAAAGAATTCGATGACATCCCTCATTTTCAGTCTCTTTCCTGGATCTGTCTCGGTACAAATTAGAGCCACCAAAAGCACTTTGTTGACCTGCACCTTTACGTCTAAACCTGAAAGCTCCCTTACAAGGGATGAATCAACAATCTCTTCAAGTTCATTCGTTCTCCTCCATACAGATTTAAACCACCCTACCAAAGTGGTTTCCTCTTCCAAAAATGAGGAGTCTAATACTTTCTTTCTAGTTATCAGCTCAAGCAAAACTACCCCATAACTATATACATCAAGCTCACAGCTGGGCACTACCACACATGCAATCTCTGTCACAAGACAATGGAAGCATGTTAAATTATAAAGAAATTATCCTTCTGATCTATTTTCATTTGCTTTCCTATCTTGTTGATTCATCATCTGGATATATATGTTCTTATAGGATGAAAACTATCTCAGTTTTATTAAACATGTTAGAAATAGAAAATTAATCCACTGAGTGCAGAAGAAGAGCAATTACCTGGTGCCATAAATCCACGAGTACCTGCATGATATATTGACCGTATCCGCACCATAGTAGAGGGCTGATTCAAAGCAATCGAAATACCAAAATCAATAATACAAGGTTGCATATCAGAATCAAGGAGTATATGCTTTGGTTTGATGTCTCTGCGCAATATGGGGGATCACAATCATGACGGAGGTATGCTAGCCCTTTTGCAATTCCAATAGCTAGTTTATAGCGGACATTCCATGCTAAATTGGGTAGTGGAACATTTTCATGTAGAACATCTTGAAGGCTTCCATTTTCCATGTACCTGCTAATGGTTAGACCATATTCCTCACCAATCCGGGAGCCTAGGCATCTTGCCACATTTTGATGCCTAATCTTCCTGGTCATTTGAATTTCCCTGATCATGTTTGGTTTCCTCCTATTGCTTTGTGCAAATTTAACCTTCTTAATAGCAAAAACTCCAATATCAAGTTCGGCTTTATAAACAATTCCTTGCCCTCCTTCACCAATTATATGTTGATCATGTAGCTTTTCCGTAGCATCTAGTAGGTTAAAAATTCTAGAAAATCCTTCATCGTTTGAAAACAAAGCCTCTTGTTCTTCATGGTCAATATTGACCTCCCCATTAGATATTTGAGTAAACCAGCGGATTTGAGTGACAGATGAGGGGCAAATTACAAATGACAAGCAAATGACAAGCACTATGAATCCAAGTGCTATAAAAACAATTGATTTTTTACTGGCCATATCACCCGGTTTGTTTTTGCAACCTGAGACATCCGAAGCTGAACAACGGACATAGAGGCCAGGATTTCCCAAGAAAGATGATGGAGATACTGTTATCCCTTCTGGTAAAGGACCAGAAAATGAGTTGTATGATATATTGAATTTTGCTAATGATAAAAATCTGCCAAGGGCTTGTATGTTTCCTGTCAAATTGTTCAGGGATAAATCTAGGCTTTCAAGCATTAACAAGTGAACGAATGTACTAGGGATCACACCTGTTAATTTATTAGAACTCAGATTCAACTCATATAAGTGAATCAATGATCCAATTGATGCGGGAATTACTCCTTCAAACATATTTCCACCAAGTTGTAATTCGAGAAGCTGGGTATAATCTGAGAAGAAAAATGGGGCAACGCCACTGAAATGATTATCCATTAAAATTAATCTGCCTAAAGCTGTCCAGCTCCTCATGCTTGATGGGAATGAACCATTAAGAAAATTGAATCCCACATCAAATGTAAACATTTTGGTACAGTACGACAGATGTAGTGGCAAAGTGCCTCCTAGTTTATTGTAAGCAAGATTCAAAACCTGAAGATTCACAAGCTTTCCTAACTCTGAGGGTAGAGGCCCTGTAATGTTATTTGTGGACAAAATTAAACCAATGAGATTTGTGCAGTTTCCCAAACTTGATGGAATTGCCCCACTGATGTTGTTCTTGCTCATGTCCATGTATATGAGATCATTATTCCCTTCAAACTTAGGAATAGGCCCTGAAAGATTATTGTCACTGAGATCCAACCTTGCAAGAGTTGCACATCTTCCCAAATCTGGAGGTATGCCCCCTTGAAATTGATTAAGACCTAAACTCAGAGTGCGCAGTTGCTTACCAAAACAAAGATTTGGAGGGATGTCACCGGTAAACTTATTATTCATCAAGTCCAGCTTCACTAAACTGCCATTGATTCCCAAGCTTTGAGGAATTGGTTGTCAAACAATGAGATATTTTTCAGATGCTTGAGTTCTGTCATCTCTGAAGGTAGTTTCCCCGAAAGGCTATTATTATGAAGAAGGACATGCTTAAGACTCTGAATCTTCCAAATGGCAACTGGAATTTCACCTGTCAAGTGGTTGACATACAATTTAAGGTCCTCCAATTTACTTAGTCTTCCCAATTCATTTGGAATAGCTCCCTCTAGTTGATTGGAATATAATTGTAAAGACTTCAAAGATTTGCAATTACCAATTTCTGAAGGTATATATCCTGACAAATGATTCTCAGAAAGATCAACATACTCAAGCAGACTACAATTACATAACTCTGGGGGTATTGTACCCGAGAAACCATTTGTGGCCAACCAAAGTTTCTGCAAGTGAGTCAGCTGTCCAATTTCTGGCCCAAGGTGACCAAAAATCTGAGATGCAGTGAGCTTTAGAAAGACCACATTCTGGTAACGGTCACATTGTATCCCTGTCCATGAGCAAGGGGTGGAATCAGAGGACTTCCAGTTTGACTTTAAGGAAGGAGGCACAGAAGTCCAGCGGTTGAGAAGAGACAATAGAGTTAACCCATCTGAACTCAAGGCAGAAGCAACATATAAAGGGGCAAACAAGCATAAGAGTAGAAACTGGAGCTTCATATGAAGAGGGAAATCTCTCTTTTGGAACAAAAAAAAAAGGGGGAATTTTCTACGAAAACACAGGAAAGGTTTAAGAGAAGCAAAAAGCGCTCACCTTGTTGCAACTTAGAACAAGTTAAAGCAACTGGAGGTGGTTGCATAGGTATTTGCGCACTGTTAAGGAGGAAGCTGACTAAATGCAAAGGAGAGGAAGTTTTAGAGTGCTGGGGTAATGAGACTACTAACAATCATTCAACACTTGTTATTTTCTGGGAGATGGAGGGGCAAACTAGAAGCAGATCTCAAAAAGTTAAGATTAAAGGAGCCACACAACTCAGTACTTCAAGAATGAAAGCAGAGTCAACTCATCAGAGCTCAAAGCAGAAGCCACAAATAAGTGAGTTAGAGAAGCATGGGATCAATAATTGGAGTTTCACTGAGAGCACAACAACATGCTTTAGCTGAAAGTAGAAGTTG